TAATCCTGGGCTTCTGTACTTGCCAGTATCTCTGACGCTGCCAGAGATTCCTCTGTTCTTATTCCTGTGATCCCTCGTCGCTTTGCACTCCCACTTCTTGCTTTAATCCTGGTGTTCAATTCTGCGTCTGGAATCCGCACAAGAGATAGAGACAATGCCTTTGCTTCATTGAGATCATTGTCCAACTCATCAAGAAACTCTTGTTTTCTTTTACTTTGCCGCTGTTGGATGGAGATACATGTCTGCCGCAATGGCACGCAGACCTTGGTGTTTTGGAACTCTTCATCACTCTCGATCTCAAACTCTAAGCATTTCGCAAGCTTGTTGCTCGACTGCCTACTATTTGAAAATTTGGATATTCCCGAGCCTTCCGCACTAGAGTCCATCTGCTTGTCAAACCAGCAGTCAATCGTTTTTTTCTTTGGGCTGTCAAGCGAGTTCCTTTTGCCTCTTTCCTTTGCGAATATACGAGATCGTTTTAAGGATGTAGCATTTGGCAGTGGCAATGTTTTCTTTTGCCTAGCAAGTGCTCCAGTAGATATCTTGCCAGTACTGCTAGATTTATATTCACTACTTGATGTGCTCGCTGTGGAAATTCCTTGGCCGTTGTCTAAAGACTCTTCAAAAAGAATTAACAATGAGCGCAAGTTCTCTTTTGAAAGTTGGTGCTGCTTGGTGCATTCCTCAATGTGCATTTCACGCTCGCAGGATAGCCCCAGCCACTCGGTGCCGCATACAGGACAGTTTGTCAGCCGGACCAATATCCCTGCGTCCTCGGGTTTAAGGCGGGACACGCATTTATTAGTAGCTGGCTTCAGCTTACTGCTAGCGCCATCAAGACAGTTTTCCACATGAAAAGTGCGCAAGTCTGTTCCCAAGTGTGTAATTTCCATGTTGCAAATTGCGCAGTATACTGTGGTATCCTCCATTTCTTATTTACAAATAGTGGACAAGGCAAGAATGGGAATAAACAAAAAAGCAAAATAGATAAAAAAGCAAGAGTTCGCAAAAGTGGATCGAAAGAAGGAATCAAAAAAATACACTCGCAGCCATGGTGGATGATCCCATCCCATAAATCCGATATCCATGTGTTTTCTTTGCGCCGGCAGTAATCTTGAGGCGAGACTTTTTTGCTTCTCTTTCGCACCCTTTCTGTTTGTAGAATTTTAATCAAGATGTGGTTGCTTTGGCTAAATTACTTTTGGAGCTGAGAGATTTCCTTTTGTCTTGCGGCTCCTCATTCCAAATAAAACCTAGACTGCTGCTTGACATTCAAGCAATCCTCTATCCACACCGACTGTAACTCTTGACCCTGTTAGAGGGGTCTTTACATGCGCAGCTTGGTACTAAAAACGAGGACACACTACTTATAAATGATTTCTATTTGAAATAAAAAAAAAGCCACATATTGGAAACCTTCCTAATAGACTAGCTCGGTCATGTCGTTCCAGAACGGATGGCTGAGCACTCTGGTCATGACGTTGTTTTTCACAGACAAGTATATATAGAAGTCCTTGCAAGAAGCTGGTGCAGGGAGAATGGATGAGTAGCCCGGCACATATGTCTTTGGCGGACTAACCCACACAGGAGGCCCATTTCCAAAGTCAACACCATAGTAATCTATCCTGGCCTGGCTCGATACGCAGAATCTGGTTGGGACATGTATCATATAGGCCATTAAGCGCTGAAAGCTGTCTGGTGCGCTGTCGCCAAGCTGTATAAACTCGCGGATATATTGTGGGCTGATACGGTCCACCCCTTGTCGCACCTGCATTGCACATGATGCGAGAGATGCAGGCTCTATTTTAGCACAGATATCTCGCAAGGGAAATGCCAGAACATGCGATAGGATTCCGTTTCCTGTGTACGTGGACATGTTGGGATTTCCGAGACGGTAGCGGCAATCCACAGCAATCGTCACCAGTCGATGGTTGTCAATGCTGTCTTCCAACTTGGTGTTACTGGGCCATTTAAAGCGCGAAGAAGGCTCAAGATCTCTCGTCTGCGTAGGGCTGTGGCCGCTATTGCTTTGTATGACGACCATGCACAGTAATGCAGTGATAATATCGTTGTCAGAAACATGACAGCTTTTCTCGGCACTAGCAGAAGAAATAGCCTCTTTTATGGCAACAAGATTTTGGAATGGAAGTCGAAACATATGACTGTCAGCAGGAAAAAACGATGTCATGATGCCAATTACTTTGCCGCGTGTTTCTGGTGATAGCCGTGCAAAACTAGTTGAAATTATGCTTTTTTTATTATGCGTAATATTAGTAGCATAATCCAACGGCTGGCTCTGCTCAGGGAGAGAGTTATATAGATGTTCTCTGCTGTGCAACAGTGCACTGCTTTGGTCTGCAGATTCGGCATCAATGTTGCCAAGAATCATCTGGCGGCAGAGCTGCGCCCAATGATGAAGGAACTTTACAATGCCATTAACATCCATTACAACATGTGCGATGTTGACAAGAATCACTAATCCGCTGTTGTCTTGGAGTCTTGCAATCTCGATTTCTGCAAGCTTGATTATGTTGTCTTTTCCTTTACGCAGCACAAAGCCTGGCTTTGATATCTCCTTTGGAAGTGCATCCCAACTAAAATTTGCTGCTTCAATATTGTCAAAGTGGGTGTCACTGTCATACTCACAATACACCAGCATGTTAATATTGTTTCGGTCCACATTGACGCTGGCATCGATGCCGCCATTCTTCATGTGCAAGCAACCAGCAAGAATAGGAAACATCCGAAGAGCCTCAAAGAAAGAGTCCTTTAGAAGATCTGGTGGCATAAACTGGCATTCGGTATTTCCGTTTTTGTAGAAGAAGTAAAGTGGGGTAGTGCAGTATGAGGGGTGTGTATCTAGGCATCCCAACGCAAACGTCTGCGACTCGACTGTTAATTTGAATTTTTCCATATTTGTGAAGGTTTCGGAAATATAATTTAGAACAAGATGGCGTAAAGGGAATTAGAAAGCCGAAAAGAAAAGAATAACTAAGCATATGACGACTTCAAGTTGTGTCTGAAAGTTGCGGCTAATCAAACGTCAGGGCCACAGCGACAAAAAAAAAGAAATAAGGTCTCTTCTGATCAAATTGACGATTAACGACGTTTCTTTTTTCTTTTTCTATTCCACCTTTTTATTTTCTTTATTTGCTTTTTTTTCTATCTTTAAGCGCAGAGAATGAGGCAGAACTTCATTGGAATGGTCATAAGCACAGCCATGGACAAGACTGTCCGCGTCCGTGTGCCGAAACGTGTTATGAATCGCCATGTTCAAAAGGAAATTTTGGTGCACAAGAACTACATGGCCCACGACGAGTTCGAAAAGTGCAACCTTGGCGATGTGGTTCGCATCGAGCACTGCCGGAAACTAAGCCGGCACAAGTCTTTTGCTGTTGCAGAGATTATTAAGGCTGCCAGAACCTGGACGGATCCAGATACCGGAATAGTCCACCTGTAAAAAAATAATTATGCTACCCTCTTATCATTGATTAAAGAGCTTTTTTTCCTGAATAATCGAAAGAAGCTTGATCGACGATGATAAGAGGGCAAGTCGCTGGACCAGACAAAAAGAAGCGGCTATATTTATTTCTCTGCTCTCCACTGTTCAATTTCAATTACGATTTCAATAAAGTGTCTTCTTTTTCCTACATTTAATCAGAATGCTTGTCTTTTCCGCCATCCGTGTTCAGGTATGAACGAATTTAATCGAAATCGAGGAGAAGAGCATCAATTTCACATATACCCTTCGTTTACTAAACTACCGCCTTTTATAAATATCTGTAGGCCGCCAGTCGTATTGCCACCCGTGGCTTTTCAGCAACTACCAGAAACAGCAAGGGTAAGTGCTCCTTGGTTTGGTAATTGCTTGTTTTTCTGTCTGCCTCTGACTACTGTGCAGCTAATAATGATACAACAATCACTCTATGTAGACATGCTCCAGGACCTCTATCTTAAGGAGATTCGCAACTATAAGCCCGATCCAAAGGCAGCAAAGGCGGAGGTGACAACAAAAAACTTTGTAGCGCCAAAGGTGCCCGAGGCACCCAAGAACGACATCAAGCTTGAATCTGACATTAAGGCATATGAGCAGAGCGGAGTTGTCAGCATAGCTTGAATAACTAGGTCTCATATTTTATTTGCAATAGTATTTTAAAGCTCTCTGGTAATGTGGTTTTTTTTTTGAGTCCAGTACATGTGCTTGAAATGAATGTAACAGAAATTACCTCAGTTTTGAATATAAGATTTATTGAGCAAAATGATTATTTTCCTTGAATTTTATTCAAATATTGTATCACAAAATGGTGGTTGAAAGAACATATACATACCAGTCATTCAGCCAAATTCAAGTTGTTATTTTTATGTCTCTCTGAACCATGATTAAAACACCACCATATTCCAAGGTATAACAATTCATTTATAATCATTTTTTTTCAAAAAAATTTGATTTATTATCAATCGGGTATGCTGAGTCTACATCCAGAGCCCCAGCTTTTTGCCGATTGGAATCATACTAATAAACAAAAGGTTTATGAAAAGGAGACGCAGTGATGGCAGTTTGGACCGCCAGCGTTGAAAATGTGTTCTCGGAAAGACTGTAAAACAACGTTTTGAAAAGAAGATAGGGCAATGGTCAACTTGTCTGGTTGACTGGCTCCGCCTGGTTCAAACTGAAACCAGGAGGTGTCGACATTGAGCTAGAAATATAATCATTTACAGGATTGTATTTATAAATCCAAATTTACAGCATGCCATTGTATTAGCACAAGTCCAACCACCTACAGATTAGAATATTCAAGAATAATATTTTAATTGCACCACATAAATCAGAGTAGTAATTCTAATAAAACTTCATTATACCAAAAACAATAAAACAACAGAAACCATGTCGAGCAGAAAATATAAAACACTGGATAAGAGTGTCAATCAAGAACATGCTCAATTTCCCACCCCTAAAAATATAATCACTTCCACTATTCAAATAGAAAGAAAACAAAAAGTGACTTCTGCCAGGTTCGAACTGGCGACCTTCTGCGTGTTAGGCAGACGCGATAACCAAGCTACGCCAAGAAGTCATCTCTTCTCCGCTTTCCGATTTTTTTTCTTGAAAATCCCCTTTTTCCGTACTCTTATCCCT